CTTTAAAGTAGGAAAATTGTCGCATACGCATTACAGCAAATATTCTTTTAACCATTATTTGCATCATTAAAGGTAAACAAATTTTATTTTTAACAACTATGCATTATAAGTTAGTATAATTGATTTTATAATTATTTGTATTTATACATAAAAATAGTATACATGTATGTATGTGTATAAAATCAGACAAACTTGTCGCGTACAAATTCCATAAAATTGAAATCCTTAAAAATGTGTTTTATTACAGAATAATTGTTAAATTTAGATACTACAATTTAGCTAAGGCTATTTTTGATTTAATATTGCCACTTTTACATAATCTTAGTAAAACGTACCCGTTATAATAGTTTAATAATGTCAATACTTTAATTTGTATAGTAAACAAGGAAATATCAGATAATGGTTTTCTTTTTAAACAACTAAAATCTATTAAGCTTTTAATTTTCTAGATATTAAATAGTGAAGAAAATAATAAAAATAAGAAAATACTGATTATACATAAAATCAAAATAAGCAGATTCAACTGTAAAAGAATTAACTTTTCAATTTGAAATTTTTGAAACAGACATATTTTATTATAAAGGCTTTAGAATCACTATTATTATAACATTGTACACCTTATAAGTTATAATAATAATTAGTAGGTACTAATAAAAAGATTAGAAACATATAAACTATTTAATTTAATAGTTATTAATAAAATAAAAAAGACAAGTTCTGATAATTTAATGTTTGCGTGACACAAACCCTAACTTTATTTCTGAAGTTTGAGTATCACTGTGTGATTTTGTGTAATTGAGTCACAAACTATTGATCCATATTTTTATTAACAGGATCTTAATAAGAAATAACTTGACTTAAAAAAAAATGAAATATCAATGATGTTGAAAAATTTACCGTTACAGAAAAATCAAATCTTTTTTGCCAACAGGATGGGGAAAACAGAAAAAAAAGTATAAGTACTTTGAATCATAGTTTGGAACTACCGGCTTAAATTAAGTCGATAATTAATACAATTTCAAACTTAACTGTGATTTTGTTGTAGGTTCCTAAAACACTGTTTACAAACATCTAGTCTTTAGACAACTTAATCATTTAAACACAGTCCACTTTATTGCATTATTTTTTATTAATAAAGTTGTTTATATAATAAAAAAAAGTTAGTTATAAATGTAAAATAAGCAACATTTTAAATATTTACTGTAGAATTAAAATAGTAAGCAAATTAAATCCAAAATTCCTTATTTAGTGTAAATTGTTTAAAACAATTATTTGAGCACAGAACATATTTTGAATAAATTGAACATAACTAAACAAATAATAGTAACGCTTCGCGACGCTTGTCCATTCAATGTATGCACTTATGAGATTGTAAGCCAAATTTTAAAGCTATTGTTTACTACCTATAAAAACTAAAAATTATAATTTTCAAATAGCATAATAATGATCTGTTGTACTGTGCTGTTACTTGTTGAATGTAGAACATAGATAGTAGAAAAATATGATAACTAATGATAATAATATTTTGTATTATCATCATAGCAGCAGTTATCAACCTACTTGTACCACGGTTTTTGATTGTTGTGGTTAAATAGCCATTCGTTAGCTGCTGTCAATATAGGTCTGTCAACCTACCTGTCATGACGGTGTGTTAGAAAAGTCGGTAATCTATAAATATGAAACGCTGGTCAAACAAAATATCACAAAACATTTTATTGTGTTTGGTTATCTGTGTACTCATCTATCGGACAATGCGATCATAAATAAGTATTTTATTGGCTCCCGGTCTTTGGAAAACCAAAGAAATATAACAATATTTAAGAGAAAATGTAATATCTTTACAAAGTCATAGCTAACGACTAGATGGATAAAAATTAATAATTCAAACGATAACATATTTTAAAATTTTTTGCCTACAAATTTATGGAATTAAAAACATATGTTGCCATTTGAAAACGTGAACTTAGACCCTTTTTATCGTATAAGGGATGAAAATAAAAATTTTCGAAGCATTGAAAAATGTAGTAAAACTTATACCTAAAAGAATAGGAAAAAATGTTTTTTCAAAATATTCATATTTTCCGAGAAAATGAGTGTCTTACGTTAGTTGGATCACCCTGTACTCTAAAAGTCTCTAATGAGCAACTGGTGACATTAAAATGACTGGTGCACGTTTTTGCATTCAGAATTAGACCTAAGTTGTCCAATTAAAAATTAAAAAGTAGATTTTATTTGTCTGTAAAAAAAATAATTGCTGGTAAAAAAACAACTTGGTTTATATCTTACAAAAGTGAATCTTCCAAATTGGTGTTGTCAATGAATAAAAACTCATTGTCACAGATGAAACCATTAAAAACGCATCAGAACCAAGCACATTTGTTATCTTTTCCCAAGCAACTTGTATTTAATAACAAAAATGTTTTTTGAGATCAATACTAATATGTATAGGTAAGTAGTAAAAAACAAGATAATATTTTCAATTGTCCGAATAGCAAAAGTTTATGATTTTATTATAATTTAGTGAAATGTAATTTAGATTTTGGAAAAATGTACACAATCAAATGATAATTTGTATTGCACTTGAAATATAACTGGACATTCCTAAAGCATATTTGGGTCCTTTCTGTAACTAAAAAACATACACCTTTATTGTTCATAGGGAAATATAATTATTTTTCATAACGTTACTACTTAGAGCTGTGCTTATAACCAACTATTTTGTTTTATTAACCATATAAATCATTTTTGGTATATTAATTGGATATTGATTTTTATAAAACTTTTATTTTAACTGTAACTTGGTTTTCTTTATCATAAAAGAAAATCTCAAATTTTAAAAAAAACCATGCTATGCGTGTACAAGTTTGTTTTGTCTTTTCCTAAAATCTCAATAAAATGTATTCTTAGTTTTTTGAAATTGTTCGTTACTCTCATTATTACCATGTGATAATAATACAAACATTATCCATAATATATAATAATTATTCTATATAAACAGTGTATATATTTACTTAAAATTTAAGTTACCCTATCGATTTAATGGTAGGGCTTAGGTTCACACTCTCATTGACATGACGGAGTCTGGAGTTTGAAGACATGGTGAATGAGTATCTAAATTCTAAATATAAAGAAAACAATCAGGTATCAATGAATTCCTCACATTAGTTAATCCATGTCAACTGATAGCAGGTTAATTAAATTGCTCCAGCTATACTGTATATTTCTAGCAGTATTCAGTACTCTTTGTTCTATTGGTATTAACATATTATATTATTTGTACGTAGAAATGCCATTACAAAAGTAAGGGGAAAATGTACTGGCAAAATTAATATTTAACTGTTTGTTGTTTTTCACCTTGGCCATATGACAGATAGTAAATTTTCGAAACAGTGAATAAAATTTTATTTCATATTTAAATTTATTTAATGAAGTAATTATTACAAATTTTAAAACGACTTATTATTTTCAAACAAGTTTTGATATTCGGTAATTAAATAAAAAATCCTAACCTTGGTCATATATCAGATTTCATGGGGGTGGGGCTAAATATGAAGAACAAAATTAGTTATCAATGTGAAATTACATAAACATATGTATTATATACTGTTATGTTATATAGATACTGTTACTGAATAAGTTTCTGTTTCTTGAGTGTTTATTTCAATGATAAAATGTTTAACATGCTTAGTTAGAAAGACGTTTTACACTTTATTTATTAAACAATTCACTTCGGCATAAGTAATTTTTTGCAAAAACTTCATTTAACGTTTAACTATAATGTGTAATAAATACATTTTAATTTAAAAAGTTAATAGAATATACTCTACCTTTTAAAAAACTTAAATTTTGAAGTTTTAAACTTTATTTACCCAAAAAGGTAAAAAAATAACGAATAAAGCTAGAATTAGTTACATTACTCATTTCGCTAAATTTGGATACGCCAGTGACTATGTATAGTACCAAGTTGAAAATACTTTAATTTTAGTGGGTTATTTTAGATTAAGAAAGTAGAAGAAATGAACTTGAAAAACGCATTAAGTCGATATTTTAAAATATAATTTATATTTTTAGCTTCGATGCGGAGCTGAGAGTATACTGACTTTACAAAATTGGTCCCACATTCTTTATTTTGGTGTGTTTTAAAACGCTGAAACAATTTTTTCCTGTAGGCTGTAGCAACTTTTTAATCTCCCAAAGTATTAACAAATACGAACAAATCAACAACATCGAAAAATGTATGATATCTTTAAAAGTTAGTTTAATTCATTAACTATTAATTAATAATAATTAATTTAATTAAGCATGTAAGAATATTTAAACTCGAAAATACCCTAATTATGCAGTAGTGTTCTGAAATAATTTTTAAATGTTTTATAGTTGTGAGCTGTAGTAAGAAAACAAAACACAATTATTGTAAAAAATATTACAATCAGTAAATATTTTCTGCAAAGAACAGCCTAAAATAATAATAGAAGAAAGTTATTTTTCAAATAAAGTTTTATTAGATACCTAAATCAATTATATTGTGTTAAATATTAATATTATGCTATCTAATATATAACAGCATATAGGTAATTTTATTTACACAGTTTTCGATTTAAGCACATATTTGTTCATTTTAGTCAAGAATAAAAAGTAAACTTATATGGGTACATATGTTTCTACCAATTAACACTAAATGTAAATACTAAATACATTGGTATCTATTGGTAAAGTTTTCAGTCTTAAGTTACTCAATTTAACAGTAAAACTAAATTACCAAATTATATAACATGTTGAGTACACGTTAAAAACGTATAAAACACATTGGTTTCACTAAATACCTTTGTGCAAGTGTGTATGATAATAATCAGTTATAATATTTAATAATGATAAGAAAACTAATAAAAATATAATATATCTGATATAAATCCTAAGTAAAAAAATTTGCAAAAAATTAACAAATCGATTTTTGAAAAACTATTTTGAAACTGCCAAATAGCCACGTGAGGTTTATGAATCTATGAGCCGTGTGCTTTTGCTTGATGACTTTTGAGAGAATCTTGGCGACCATATGATTTATCACAGACTGAGCATTTATGTCGTACCCCACCAATATGTATACGTGCATGTCTCTTGAGATCAGAATGTTGAATGAAGGTTTTTTCACAGACATCGCATTTATATGGTTTCTCACCGGTATGTATGCGTTTATGAATTTTGAGACTAATTTGTTGAATGAATGTTTTTTCACAGACAACGCATTTATAAGGTTTCTCACCGGTATGTCTTCTTTCGTGAGTTTTGAGGGTAGACTGTACATTAAAACTTTTTTTACAGACATCGCATTTAAACGGTTTTTCACCAGTATGGGTGCGTTCATGAATTTTGAGGTTTGATAGTCTACCAAATGTTTTTTCACAGATATCGCATTTAAAGGGTTTCTCCCCAGTATGAACGCGCCAATGTCTTCTCAGGCTTGATTTTAATGAAAATGTTCTTAAACAAATACCACAATTAAACGGTTTCTCGCCGGTATGTACACGTGCATGTTTCTTAAGATGAATTTGTTGAGTGAATGTTTTTTCACAGACATCGCATTTAATTAGTTTCTCGGCGGTATGTGTTCTTTCATGAGTTTTGAGGTTAAATTGTCTATTAAAACATTTTTCACAGACAACGCATTTATAGGGTTTCTCATCGGTATGTATACGTAAATGTCTCTTGAGGTCAGATTGTTGAATGAACGCTTTTTCACAGACACGGCATTTAAATGGTTTCTCGGCGGTATGTGTTCTTTCATGAGTTTTGAGGTTAAATTGTCTATTAAAACATTTTTCACAGACAACGCATTTAAAGGGTTTCTCTCCGGTATGTATACGTGCATGGTTCTTAACGTGATATTGTGAAACGAATGTTTTTTTACAGATATCGCATTTAAAAGGTTTCTCGCCATTATGTATACGTGTATGTCTCTTGAGATCAGAATGTTGAATGAAGGTTTTTTCACAGACATCGCATTTAAACGGGTTTTCACCAGTATGTATGCGTTCATGAGCTTTGAGGTGATGTTGTCTACCAAACGTTTTTTTACAGACATCGCATTTAAACGGATTCTCGACGGTATGAATACGTGCATGGTACTTGAGATGAATTTGTCGACTGAATGTCTCTTGAGATTAGATTCTTCAATGAATGCCTTTTCACAGACAACGCATTTAAATAGTTTCTCGCCGGTATGTACACGTGCATGTCTCTTGAGATCAGAATGTTGAATGGAGGTTTTTTCACAGACAACGCATTTATAAGGTTTCTCACCAGTATGTATGCGTTCATGAATCTTGAGGTGAGATATCTGACCAAATCTTTTTATACAGTCATCGCATTTATAGGGTTTCTCGCCAGTATGTATGCGCCAATTCAGGTTTGATTTTGATGAAAAAGTTTTCACACAAATACCACAATTAAATAGACCATCTTTGTTTTGAGTATACTTTTTGATTCTGCTGTTACGATGATTGACTTTATTTTTTTGAGGTGCTTTCTTTTCAATAGAAGTACTAGAATGTGATTTCGCAATGTGCCGGATTATATTACTTTTGGTTATAAACCTCCTTTGACATATATTGCAGTCGAACCGACGTAATTTGTGTATGTTTTTCTCAGAATCGTTTTCTATAGTTTTGTTCAAACTGCAATCCATGGTTTTTGTATTGTTTGAGGTATCGGTCGCTTTACACGGAAAATTAATACTGCAACATGTATGGAACATAATAGATTAATTTAAGACAAATATATTTTGATATTATACAGCAAGTATTAATATTACTAACATTAAATAAACAACGCAACATTTTTAAGAATTAATTTTATTGATTTTACATGACATACAATAATCTACTATTAAGGCTATTTTTATTTGATTGTGTTGCCTAAACTTATCCTATAAAATACAATGTAACGTTCGCATTTATTAGAAAATGGAGTGCCATAAGATTTGAAACTTAAAAAGTGTACTCTATCTAAAGTCCACTTTTACATTGAGTACCTTAAGATTTTTAAATGACCGACGTCTTTTAACCCTTAACTCGGCAGAAATAAAAATTTCACATGAAACGACTAAATTAAATTTTTAACATGAATATGGCTTTTGGATCAGGGACATTAAGAAAATCTTTGCGTGCGTGCGTGAATGGCACTGAACGTTACAAAAGACAATGTGTGCGTGTGCCGCTATTAAGCGGATGTTTTGTAAATTAAAGAACTGATAAATAATTTTTAATGTCTGGCTAAAAAATAGAGATATGCGATAAGAGATATTATAGATAAGATATAAAATGTACGATATTGTAGATACAAACTGTAGAGATATAATATTAGAAATAAAATATTAGAGATAAGAAACGAGACATATCCATATAATAAATACCTCTTTGAAAAGAAAACAAAATGTAACTAATTAATAATATTTTTATAAAGTTTTAAGTATTTTACTATGAGGACATTACTTATAGTCTATTTCATTAAAATTTACAAATGTACAACGCATCATTTTTAAGAATTAATTTTATTGATTTTACATGACATACAATAATCTACTACTAAGGCAATTTTATTTGATTGAGTAGCCTAAACTTATCCTATAAAATACAACGTAACATTCACATTTGTTAAAATAAGGATAATAAACGTCCGAATAACATAAGATTTAAAATCTTGAAAGTCTACATTGAGTACCTTGAGACTTTTTAATGACCGACTTCTTTTAACCCTTAACTCAGCAGAAATAAAAATTTCACACTGAACGACTAAACTTAATTTTTAACATGGATATGGCTTTTGGATCGGGGACATTAAAAAAATCTTTGCGTACGCGCGTGAATAAGACTGAACGTTACCGAAGACAATGTGTGCGTGTGGCGCTATTAAGAGGATGTTTTGTAAATGAAAGAGCTAATAAATAATTTTTAATGTCTGGCTAAAAATTAGAGGTATTATAGATAAGATAAGATATAAAATATACGATATTGTAGATACAAAATGTAGAGATATAATATTAGAAATAAAATATGAGAGATAAGAAACGAGACATATCCATATAATAAATACCTCTTTGAAAAGAAAACAAAATGTAACTAATTAATAATATTTTTATAAAGTTTTAAGTATTTTACTATGAGGACATTACTTATAGTCTATTTCATTAAAATTTTCCATCAACTTTTAATTTTTAATTTTGATAATTAAAAATGAATTTAATAAAAAATAAACAAACGCTATTACTTATTACATTATTTTTTTTTTATAACTGTTAGCATTAAGTATTTATTTTAAAAAATCACACCTTTTTTTTTTCATGTGTCGATGTATCGACGTGGATAGCGTGGATACTAACAGTTTTTTTTTACTATTTAATACCCATAGAGATCATTTTTGAATTTTTTTTTTTAATGAACATCTTTTTTATAATAGCGTCTATCTTAAGATAGACCACCTCATTGAATAATTCAATAGATGTATCTTTAAACATACACTACTTCATCGACCTATTAAGAAAAAAAACAATAATGCTATCTTACTTAATAGTTTATGATTTTGTAGAGAAGATATTAATCATTATACTATATTTATATATATATAACTTTATAAATTTAAAATTATAAGTAATCGCTTCATTTTTTTATTTTTTTTCTTCATTTTTTGATACTTTGATTTAAAATTATATTGATAAAAGGCAGATGCGGTTTTAATTAAAATAATATATTATTATATTAACAAGCAGTTCCTAAAATAAGGATAATAATAGCGAAACGCTAACATCGATACGACTGATGGGTTTATCGAGGAGGATAACATAATTACAAAAGTATTAAAGTTTTGTTCAAGAAAAACAAAATGGTAATAAAAATAACCTTACTCATAATTATTGTCGACTTCATTCTTTACCAAACACTTATTTGTTGTAGAAATTTCATTGTTTATGAACTGCATATCAAACGGTTTAGTTTTAATGACTTCAAACGATTTTTCCAACAACTCTTCTTCTGTTTCATCATTTTCAGGTTTAATTTTCAATATATTAAACCGCTTTAAAACTCTATAATTGACATTTAACATTAGTTGTATTTCTGTGCTATATATGCATAGAGGATTAGTAGGACAACTAAATTCACAATTTTAATTATTTTATTTAGTAATAAATATAGTCTACTAATGATATATAAAGATAATTTAGTTTACATTTTAAATGGGAAAATTAATCATATTATAAATTTAAAAAAAATTAGATTAACTAATCTATTCATAAAAAATGTCTATTTAACAAAAATGAAATTTTTGATAGTAAAAAAACATGAGTTTTAATATATAGTTTTTGTAATAAAAAATGACACTTATTCGCATTTTTTTTTAATTTAATAAAAGAATGAAAAATAATTGTAAAAATGTTTATATATATATTTATATACATAAATATATATAGTGTGCGTTTGTTTGATAACGAGTGATTGCCACAGATGGAGGTACTTTGTACCGTGAAGGTAAACTGTCGTGCATTTTCGGAGGCAAATAAATTAAATTCCAAACTCTTGTATCAAAGCTTATTAAAAGAAATAACACAATAAAAACTTTTTTTTCAAATGCTTCTATATTTTACGATTTAAAACACTTAACAACTATAAACAATTATACTATATTTCTAAAAGTCTTTAACCATTAGACTGTATTAGTCTTAGTGAAATATCATTTTCATTTTAAGTACACTGTCTTAAACGAGCCTCAACATAGACATAGTAATTTAACAACCCGTCAAAGTAAATATATCACAATCAAAGAGGCGGATAGCCGATGTCTTAGATGAACATGTTGAGCCACGTCAAAATGGTGCATGCCCAAAAAAAAGTGGCACTTACGAATAGTTCTTTAAACATAGACGATATTTGACGAACACTTAAACAGATTGTTTATTATAGTCATATAATTTATCCATTTACATAAATCTTTTAAAATTCCAATATTATAGTAATTATTTGAAAAAAATTTTTATAAAAAATCCAATATAAGTCTCAATATAAAACTAATGTTGTTACTCTCAAACACGGTATTATGTTTTCATGGGAACTAATCACACAAATATATTGAACAAAATTATTTAATAATAAACGTATAAATTGAAGTAGGCATATTCTCCTCACTTTCCCAAATGACATTTATTAATAATTGTCAGGTTTGGTTTACTGTCGTTCAAACTTAATAATTCTTCGAATTAAAAAACGAAAAACTTATTCTAAAAAATATGAATGAAACTAACATAATATAATCATAGTTGACGGAATAATAATACATTTTATTTTGAATTTTAAACATGGTCCGCATAATTCAACGCATAAAAATAAACAAATATTTTAAATTAAAAATCAATTTTAATAAACAAATTAACATATACTATAAAAAATTTTTCTTAAAAACCATCAGTAACTAAAAAAGACTACTAACATTTTATAATAAAAAATAAGAATAGTAACAATATTTTTTAGCATATTGTGTGTGTAGATTATGAAAATTAAAAAACTCATTATAAAAATTTAAATACTAAATAATTCATGTGATCCGTAGAAAAAAAAATTAAACGAATACTTATGTTATTGATCTGTTAAACGATAGTAATAAATAAAATATTATAAGAAAACTAATAAAAGTATACTAAATCTGTAATAAAGTAAAAAAAATTGCAAAATAACAACAAATCGATTTTGAAAAACTGCCAAATAGTCACGTAAGGTTTATGAATCTATGAGCCGTGTGCTTTTGCTTGATGACTTTTGAGAGAATCTTGGCGACCATATGATTTATCACAGACTGAGCATTTATGTCGTACCCCACCAATATGTATACGTGCATGTCTCTTGAGATCAGAATGTTGAATGAAGGTTTTTTCACAGACATCGCATTTATATGGTTTCTCACCGGTATGTATGCGTTTATGAATTTTGAGACTAATTTGTTGAATGAATGTTTTTTCACAGACAACGCATTTATAAGGTTTCTCACCGGTATGTCTTCTTTCGTGAGTTTTGAGGGTAGACTGTACATTAAAACTTTTTTTACAGACATCGCATTTAAACGGTTTTTCACCAGTATGGGTGCGTTCATGAATTTTGAGGTTTGATAGTCTACCAAATGTTTTTTCACAGATATCGCATTTAAAGGGTTTCTCCCCAGTATGAACGCGCCAATGTCTTCTCAGGCTTGATTTTAATGAAAATGTTCTTAAACAAATACCACAATTAAACGGTTTCTCGCCGGTATGTACACGTGCATGTTTCTTAAGATGAATTTGTTGAGTGAATGTTTTTTCACAGACATCGCATTTAATTAGTTTCTCGGCGGTATGTGTTCTTTCATGAGTTTTGAGGTTAAATTGTCTATTAAAACATTTTTCACAGACAACGCATTTATAGGGTTTCTCATCGGTATGTATACGTAAATGTCTCTTGAGGTCAGATTGTTGAATGAACGCTTTTTCACAGACACGGCATTTAAATGGTTTCTCGGCGGTATGTGTTCTTTCATGAGTTTTGAGGTTAAATTGTCTATTAAAACATTTTTCACAGACAACGCATTTATAGGGTTTCTCATCGATATGTATACGTAAATGTCTCTTGAGATTAGATTGTTGAATGAATGCTTTTTCACAGACTTTGCATTTAAAGGGCTTCTCGCCGGTATGTATCCTTTTATGAATTTTGATGTAAGATTGGTCGCAAAAAGCCTTTTGACAGACATCGCATTTAAACGGTTTTTCGACGGTATGTGTGCGTTTATGAATTTTTAGGTATTGTTGTGTACCAAATGTTTTTTCACAGACATCGCACTTAAAAGGTTTCTCGGCGGTATGTATACGTGCATGTCTCTTGAGATTAGATTGATGAATGAATGCTTTTTGACAGATATCGCATTTGTAAGGTTTCTCACCGGTATGTACACGACCATGCTTCTTGAGACAAGATTGTTGAATGAATGTTTTTTCACAGACATCGCACTTAAAAGGTTTCTCGGCGGTATGTATACGTGCATGTCTCTTGAGATTAGATTGATGAATGAATGCTTTTTGACAGATATCGCATTTGTAAGGTTTCTCACCGGTATGTACACGACCATGCTTCTTGAGACAAGATTGTTGAATGAATGTTTTTTCACAGATAACGCATTTATATGGTTTCTCACCGGTATGTATGCGTGCGTGTCTCTTGAGATTAGATTGTTGAATGAATGCTTTTTCACAGACATTGCATTTATAAGGTTTCTCACCGGTATGTACACGAGCATGTTTCTTGAGATCAGATTGTTGAATGAATGTTTTTTCACAGACAACGCATTTATACGGTTTCTCACCGGTATGTATGCGTTTATGAATTTTGAGACTAATTTGTTGACTGAATGTTTTTCCACAGACAACGCATCTAAATGGTTTCTCGCCGAGATGTGTTTTTTCGTGAGTTTTGAGGTTAGACTGTACATTAAAACATTTTTTACAGACATCACATTTAAACGGTTTTTCACCAGTATGTATGCGTTCATGAGTTTTGAGGTAAGATTGTCTACCAAATGTTTTATCACAGACATTGCATTTAAAGGGCTTTTCCGTGTGAATGCACGAATGTCTTCTCAGGCTTGATTTTAATGAAAACGTTTTTAAACAATTACCACAATTAAATAGGCCATCTTTGTTTCGAGTATTTCCTTTGATTTTGCTGTTAGGATGATTGACATTATTTTTTTGAGGTGTTTTCTTTTCAATGGAATGCGATTTCGCAATATGCCGGATTATATTACTTTTGGTTGTAAACCTCCTTTGACACATATTGCAGTCGAACCGACGTATTTTGTATATATTTTTCTGAAAATGATTATCTATAGTTTCGTTAAAACTACAATCCATTGTCTTTGTATTATTTGAGATATCTGTCGCTTTACACGAAAAATGAATACTGCAACACGTTTGAAACAAAACAAATTAATTTAAGAAAAATATATTTTGATGTCATACAGCAAGTTTTAATATTAAATATACAACGCATCCTTTTTAAGAATTAATTTGATTAATTTTAGATGACATACAAAAGTCTTCTTTACTCAATTTTTATTTGATCGAGTTGCCTAAACTTATCCTACATAATACAATGTAACGTTCACATTTATTAGAATATGGACAATAAACATCCGAGTGCCATAAGATTTAAAACTTAAAAAGTGTACTCTATCTAAAGTCCACTTTTACATTGAGTACCTTGAGACTTTTTATGACCGACGTCTTTTAACCTTAAACTTGACAGAAATAATAATAAATTCTCATAAACGACTAAACTATATTTTTGACATGGATATGTCCTTTGGCTTGGGGACATTAAGAAAATGCTAAAATGACGCTGAACGCTATCGAGGAAAATGTGTGCGTGTGGCGCGATTAAGCGGATGTTTTGTGAATGAAACAGCTGATAAATAATTTTTAATGTCTGGCTAAAAATTAGAGATTGCGATTAGAGATTTATAGATAAGATATAAAATGTACGATATTGTAGATACAAAATGTAGAGATATAATATTAGAAATAAAATATGAGAGATAAGAAACGAGACATATCCATATAATAAATACCTCTTTAAAAAGAAAACAAAATGTAACTAATTAATAATATTTTTATAAAGTTTTAAGTATTTTACTATGAGGAACTTTTATTCTTTATTTATGATAATTAAAAAATGTATTTAATAAAAAATAAAATTAACCCCATTACTTATTACATTATTTTTTTTTTATAACTGTTAACATTAAAATTTTATTTTAAAAAATGACACATGTTCGCATTTTTTTTTTCTATTTTAATGTATGAAAGTTTTCTATATATGTATATAAAAAAAACCGGTACTTCTTATGCCAACGCAAACGTACGCTAACATCATGCGATGCTGCAGACGTTGACCGGACATCAAACCCACAATTAAATGTTTTCACAATTTTGTTTTTTTGATACTTTGATTTAACATTATATTGATAAAAGGTAGATACGGTTTTAAAATAATATATTATTATATAAACAAGCAGTTCCTAATATAAGTTAAATAATAGCGAAACGCTAACATCGATACCACTGATGGGTTTATGGAGGAGGATAACATAATTACAAAAGTTTTAAAGTTTTGTTTAAGAAAAAAAAAATGGTAATAAAAATAACCTTACTCATAATTATTATCGACTTCCTTCTTTACTAAACACTTATTTGTTGTAGAAATTTCATTGTTTATGAACTGCATATCGAACGGTTTGTTTTCATTGACTTCAAACGATTTTTCCAACAACTCTTCTTTTGTTTCATCATTTTCAGGTTTAATTTTCAATATATTAAACCGCTTTAAAACTCTATAATTGACATTAAACATTAGTTGTATTTCTGTGCTATATATGCATAGAGGATTAGTAGGACAACTAAATTCACAATTTTAATTATTTTATTTAGTAACAAATATAGTCTACTAATGATATAATAAAGATAATTTAGTATACATTCTAAATGTATATTCTAATAGTAAAAAACATAAATTTTAATATATAGTTTTTGTAATAAAAAATGACACTTATTCGCATTTTTTATTAACTTAATGAAAGAATGAAAAATAATTGTAAAAATGTTTTCTATATATTTATATAAATAACTCGGTAAGTATCGTACAAAACGTACGCTAACATAATGTGGTGCTGCAGACAACACACTCACAAATAAAATGTTTACAATTTTGTTTTTTTAAATATTTTAATGGATCTCTATATGGATAAGAGGTAGATGTAGTTTTAAATCAATCAATCTATTATTAAATGAACAAATGGTTCCTAATATAAGTTTAATGTTAGCGAAACGCTTATATTGATACCATCAGGCACAAGTTTTAATACTTTTGTTCAAGATAAAATAAATGGTAATAAAATCGCCTTACTCATAAGTATCATCGAATTCATTCTTAACCAAATAATCCTCTACTATAGATATTTCATTGTTTTTGAACAGCACATCAAACGGTTTTGGTTCAACGGAGTATTCTTCTGCATCGTCATTTTCAGGTTTAATATTCAACATATTTTACCGTTTCAAAACTCTGTAATTGACATTGAACTTTAGTTGTTTTTCTGTACCACTTATGCAAAGAGGTTTAAATAGGACTACTAAATTGCAGTTTTATTTATTTTATTAAGTAACAAATAAAGTAATAATAATAATATAGTAAAGAATAATTTAGTTTACATTACTTGTAAAAAACCACTGAGTTTTCAGTAGTATATTTTGTTTGTTTAAACATTTAAATCTTAATTTTAATTTACTCGAATTAGATGAATAACACAAAGCTACAAGCATGGCTTATAGGTAAGAAGCTAACACAATAAAGATCAAAGCTAGACGATTGGCCATTTTGCCGACTAGATTACTTTAAAATGGTGTTGATCCTATATTACTCTACTCAACTCCGGATGAACAATAAGTAACAAGCTACCAAATAAATTATGATTCTTTTTATTCAAAAGCAGTGTTTTATGCCCGCGGGAGACAGTAAACACGGCAATAATGTATATAAATTAGAAATACAAAACAATAGATACTCACACAATGTAGAACCGTAAACCGCCTTCCAGAGCAGCTAATAAAAACTTATAATAAATTATTGACATGCAAGAAAAAACACAATTGTAACGAAATAACGAAACACGACGCAATACTTAAGGTATTTATCGCAGAATTCGACCAAGTTATTATGATTGAAATCTAGAGATGTTCACGAATCGGACCCGTGGCACCAATACTGCAAACAAATTGGCAGTTTTATTTATTTAAATATAACAGCTTGTATATTTACCTAACGTGTACAGCACAAAGTTATTAACAGAATGTCTGCTTGGAAAAAAGACGCCAAGCGTGTAGACGAAGTCGTGTGAGATTATCGAATGGCGGACCAAAAATGGCTGCGGCATCGTCCTTACGCTTCTCCCGGCGCAGGTGGGGGTACGGTGGGTAGTGGTACCAACAATCATCACATTAGATGTGATTCCAATGAAAACTGAATGACAACGCAGAAATTATATGGACAGATAGTGTGTGTTTGTGTGATAACAAGTGATTGCCACATATGGAGGTACTTTGTAGCGTGGAGGTAAACGGTCTTGCAATTTAGGAGGCAAAGAAATAAAATGCGATTTCGCAATATGCCGGATTATATTACTTTTGGTTGTAAACCTTCTTTGACATATATTACAGTCGAACTTGCAGTGTATTTTGTGTATGTTTTTCTCAGAATCGTTTTCTATAGTTTTGTTCAAACTGCAATCCATGGTTTTTGTTTTGTTTAAGGTATCGGTCGCTTTACACGGAAAATGAATACTGCAACATGTATGGAATATAATAGATTAATTTAAGACAAATATACTTTGATATTATACAGCAAGTATTAATATTACTAATATTAAATGTACAACGCATCATTTTTAAGAATTCATTTTATTGATTTTACATGACATACAATAATCTACTATTAAGGCTATTTTATTTGATTGAGTAGCCTAAACTTATCCTATAAAATACAATGTAACGTTCACATTTGTTAAAATATGGATAATAAACGTCCGAATAACATAAGATTTGAAACTTAAAAAGTGTACTTTATCTAAAGTCCACTTTTACATTGAGTACCTTAAGACATTTAAATGACCGACGTCTTTTAACCCTTAACTCGGCAGAAATAAAAATTTCTGATAAATAATTTTTAATGTCTGGCTAAAAATTAGAGATATTATAGATAAGATAAGATATAAAATATACGATATTGTAGATACAAAATGTAGAGATATAATATTAGAAATAAAATATGAGAGATAAGAAACGAGACATATCCATATAATAAATACCTCTTTGAAAAGAAAACAAAATGTAACTAATTAATAATATTTTTATAAAGTTTTAAGTATTTTACTATGAGGACATTACTTATAGTCTATTTCATTAAAATTTTCCATCAACTTTTAATTTTTATTTATGATAATAAAAAATGTATTTAATAAAAATTAAACAAACCCTATTACTTATTACATTTTTTTTTTTTATAACTATTAACATTAAGTAAACATTAGTAACATTATTTTAAAAAATCACACCTGTTCGCATTTTTTTCCTATTTTAATGTAGGAATGTTTTCTATATATGTATATAAATAAACACGGTAAGTCGCATGCAAACGCAAGCGTAAGCTAACATTATGGGATACTGCAGACGTCGACCGGTCATCATACCCACAAATAAATAACAATTTTTTTTTGTTTTGATACTTTGATTGAACATTATATTGATAAGAGGTAGATGCGGTTTTAAAATAATATATTATTATATGCACAAGTGGTTACTAATATAAGTTTCATAATAGCGAAATGCTAACATCGATACCAATGATGGGTTTATGGAGGATGATAACATAATTACAAAAGTTTTAAAGTTTTATTTAAGAAAAAAAAAATGGTAATAAAAATAACCTTACTCATAATTATTGTCGACTTCATTCTTTACCAAACACTTATTTGTTGTAGAAATTTCATTGTTTATGAATTGCATATCAAACGGTTTAGTTTTAATGACTTCAAACGATTTTTCCAACAATTCTTCTTCTGTTTCATAATTTTCAGGTTTAATTTTCAATATATTAAACCGCTTCAAAACTCTATAATTGACATTTAACATTAGTTGTAGTTCTGTGCTATATATGCATAGAGGATTAGTAGGACGACTAAATTGTACAATTTTAGCTATTTTATTTAGTAACAAATATAGTAATAATAATGATATAACAAAGAAGACAGCTTACTGACTAAGTGCCTGAAGCTTGAACATAATAAAAAAGAATAATTTAGTTTACATTATTTTGAAAATAAAAACCAACCAATTTTTCAGTGGTAAATTTTTACATGATCAAATTCTAACAGCTGAATTGAATATATTTGGGTTTTATACTGTGTTTCATTTACCAACTTGTCAGTTTGGTGTTTATTGTTGGACATATCATAATGCGAATCACTACAGCGGACTACAGCATTACAAAAGCTTTTATGTTTTATTTAGTAAACACAAAATATTAATACAAATAGCCTTACTCATAAGTATTGTCGACTTCATTCTTCACCAAATACTCCTCTGTTGTAGATATTTCATTGTTTTCAAACAGCTCATCCAACGGTTTTGTTTCAACGGCTCCAAAAGTTGTTTCAAAGAAGTGTTTTTCTGTTTCATCAATTTCATCTTTAATTTTCAACATATTATACCGCTTCAAAACTATAATTGACATTTAACACAAGTGTTATTTCTGTATCGTATATCCATATAGGTTAAATAGGACAAATAAATTGCACAATTTAAACTATTTTATTAAGTAACAAATAAAGTAAGATTAATAACCCAAAGCTACAAGCATGAATTGCAGGTAAGAAGCTAACACAATAAAGATCAAAGCTAGACGATTGCCCATTTTGCCGATTAGATTAATTTAAAATTGTGTTGATCCCTTATCACTCTAATCAACTCCGGATAAATAATAAGTAATATACAACCACATATCAATTATGATTCTTTTTATTCACAAGCAGTGTTTTAAGTCCTCGGAAGACAATAAACACGGCAATGATGTATATAAATTAGAAATACAAAACAATAGGTACTCACACAACGTAGAACCGTAATCCGCGTTCCAGGGCTGCTACTGAAAACTTATAATAAACTATTGACATGCAAGACAAAACTCAATTGTAACGCAACTTGAAACGAAATAAAGACACACAACGCAGTTCGTTAATTGTTTAACACAGAATTCGACCAAGTAATTATGATTAAAATCTAGATATTCTCACGAAGCGGGGCCGTGGCGACAATACAGAAAACCAATTGTACCTAGGGCGCTCAATCTAATTGTTTCACTAGTTTGATTCACAGAACTTCAGCAGAGTGTACAAATTTTAATCTTAATTAAAAATCAAAACTTTTATTTCAATTGTGATTTTAATGCAAACTGCACAGTGCACGATACAACGCAGAAATTGTATGGACAGATTTGTGATAGTGTGCGTTTGTTTGATAACGAGTGATTGCCACAGATGGAGGTACTTTGTAGCGTGAAGGTAAACTGTCGTGCATTTTCGGAGGCAAATAAATTAAATTCCAAACTCTTGTATCAAAGCTTATTAAAAGAAATAACACAATAAAACCTTTTTTTTTTCAAATGCTTCTATATTTTACGATTTAAAACACTAAACAATTATACTAAATTTCTAAAAGTGTTTAACCATTAGACTGTATTAGTCTTAGTGAAATATACTTTTCATTTTAACTACATTGTCTGAAACGAGCCTCAACAAGGCGGAGTAATTTAACAACCCGTCAAATTAAATATGTCACAATCAAAGAGGCGGATAGCCGATGTCTTAGACGAACATGTTTAGCCACGTCAAAATGGTGCATGCCCAAACAAAAGTGGCACTTACGAATAGTTCTTTAAACATAGACGATATTTGACGAACACTTAAACAGTTTGTTCATTATGGTCATATAATTTATCCATGTACATAAATCATTTAAAATTCCAATATTTAATAATTATTTGAAAAAGATGTTTATAAAAAAAAAGTCTCAATATAAAACTAATGTTATTACTCTCAAACATGGTATTATGTTTTCTTGGGAACTAATCACACAAATATATTGAACAAAATTATTTTTACTAATTATTTAATAATAAACGTATATATTGAAGTAGGCATATTCTCCTTACTTTCCCGAATGACATTTATTAATAATGGTCAGGTTCAATCTTAATAATTCTTCGAATTAAAAAAACGAAAAACTTATTCTAAAAATATGAATGAAACTAACATAATGTAATCATAATTGACGAAATAATAAAATATTTTATTTTGATTTTAAACACGGTTCGCATAATTCAACGCTCAAAAATTAACAAATATTTTAAATTAAAAATCAATTTTAAAATACAAATTAACATATATTATAAACCATTCTCTTCAAAACCATCTGTAACTAAAAAGACTACTAACATTTTATAATAAAAAATAAGAATAGTAACAAAATTTTTTAGCATTTTGTGTGTGTAGATTATGAAAATTAAAAAATACATTATAAAAATATAAATACTAAATAATTCATGTGATCCGTCGAAAAAATAAATTAAAAACTAATACTTATGTTATTGATCTGTTAACCGATAGTAATAAATTAAATATTATAAGAAAACTAATAAAAGTATACTAAATCTGAAATAAATCGTAAGTAAAAAAAATTGCAAAATAATAACAAATCGATTTTGAAAAACTGCCAAATAGTCACGTAAGGTTTATGAAACTATGAGCCGTGTGCTTTTGCTTGATGCCTTTTGAGAGTATCTTGGCGACCATATGATTTGTCACAGGCTGAGCATTTGTATCGTACCCCACCAATATGTATGCGTTCATGAATTATGAGATAGGACTTTAAACTGAATGTTTTTTCACAGACATCGCATTTAAATGGTTTCTCGCCGGTATGTGTTCTTTCATGAACTTTGAGGTTAGATAGGTCACAAAAAGACTTTTTCACAGACATCGCATTTAAATGGTTTCTCGCCGGTATGTGTTCTTTCATGAACTTTGAGGTTAGATAGGTCACAAAAAGATTTTTCACAGACATCGCATTTAAATGGTTTCTCGCCGTTATGTATACGTACATGTTTCTTGAGATTAGAATGTTGACTGAATGTTTTTTGACAGATAACGCATTTAAATGGTTTCTCGCCGGAATGTACAAGTGCATGGTTCTTGAGACTAATTTGTTGAATAAATGTTTTTTCACACACATCGCATTTGAAAGGTTTTTCACCAGTATGTATGCGTTTATGAATTTTGATGTAGGATTGGTCGCAAAAAGACTTTTTACAGACATCGCATTTAAATGGTTTCTCGACGGTATGTGTGCTTTCGTGAGTGTTGAGTGAAGACTGGACACCAAATGTTTTTTCACAGATATCGCATTTAAAGGGTTTCTCCCCGGTATGAACGCGACAATGTCTTCTCAGGCTTGATTTTAATAAAAACGTTTTCAAACAAACACCACAATTAAATAGGCCATCTTTGTTTTGAGTATTTCCTTTGATTTTGCTGTTAGGATGATTGACTTTATTTTATTGAGGTGTTTTCTTTTCAATGGAAGTACTGGAATGCGATTTCGCAATATGCCGGATTATATTACTTTTGGTTGTAAACCTCCTTTGACACATATTGCAGTCGAACCGACGTATTTTGTATATATCTTTCTGAGAATGATTATCTATAGTTTCGTTAAAACTACAATCCATTGTCTTTGTATTATTTGAGATATCTGTCGCTTTACACGAAAAATAAATACTGCAACACGTTTGAAACAAAACAAATTAATTTAAGAAAAATATATTTTGATGTCATACAGCAAGTTTTAATATTAAATATACAACGCATCCTTTTTAAGAATTAATTTGATTAATTTTAGATGACATACAAAAGTCTTCTTTACTCAATTTTTATTTGATCGAGTTGCCTAAACTTATCCTACATAATACAATGTAACGTTCACATTTATTAGAATATGGACAATAAACATCCGAGTGCCATAAGATTTAAAACTTAAAAGGTGTACTCTATCTAAAGTCCACTTTTACATTGAGTACCTTGAGACTTTTTATGACCGACGTCTTTTAACCTTAAACTTGACAGAAATAATAATAAATTCTCATAAACGACTAAACTATATTTTTGACATGGATATTGTAACGGACCCACCCTTATCAGGGCTAATAGATACATATATATATTTATTACATTGTACAACTTATCAGGACTAACATATACATATATCTATATATTATATTATATAACTTCTCATTATTAAATATTGCTAAATATGAATGTACCACACGTGCCGATTTCACATCAGACCCAAAAGGTCATTACAGCATCTTGCGAAAGCAGACAACTTGCAATTCTGTTCACAGTTGACCTCAAACACGAGGCCAACCACTAAGAGAAACTTAACGTTTTGGCAACTACCGTGCGAATCTCACATCGAAGCTAGCCAATTTCGACCATGCGAAGGCTGCACTCTCATGCCTCTACCCTTCCTCCACCGTTGACATAAGCGGATGCCATGGACGAGCGAGGTCATCCACACGCGGACTTTCGATAATTGCGAGGATTCCCACGGCCATTCAGCGAGCGGACCAACATATAAGGGAGAACTTCAGTCATAGCAGAGCAGATGTACTGGGACCACCATACACTACACTTGAAGTTTCTACCTATCATCTTCTTTTGAAGTCTTAAGCGGCTTATAATTGTCTTAATCATCATATTTTTGAAGCATACTGAACTTATGCTATTAACTGTTTGTCGTTGTACATGTTTTATAAGTATATTAAATTAAATGTTTGTGATTTACTCTGAAGTTATTCTATTAAATATCTAAAAACCTATCACCACGATTGTAACAACACTCAAACAGCCTGCAATACATACGTACAGGGCTACAGGGTTGCTACATTGGCGCAGTCTAAAGGGATCGTTCAAAGACGGTAACGACATCAAGTCCAACTGATTTCAACTGGAAGGGACAAGTCAATTGAAGCACTTCGTTGAAATCGACGTTTTTGGAAGAACCATTCAAATATGAACGCTCTTTTGTAAGTAGATAAGGAACTTAAATTGTATTAAGCTAAGTTAAGAATTTTTGTTTTATATAAGTGATAATCTTAAGTGTAGGTAGGCCCAGTCATCTCCCAAAATTTAAAAAATAAAAAAAAATGGAATCAAAAGATACTTTAGGAAATCAAGTTATAGACCAATTAATAGACCTGACCAAAAGCGATAGTAATGAAAGTAGTAATGAAGGATTTTTTGAATCAGAAATTATAGAATCCCCTGAACTAATTAAAATAGGAAACAATGACATAGGAAATGATTGTAACGATGTAGTAGATAAGGATGTTAAGGGGAGGTCAGTTGAATCAATAGAAAAAGAAATAGATAGATGTTATAATTCACAACGTAATGTTAGCAAATCTAGTGTAAGGGAACCTAAACAAAAATCTCAATCACCTAAGACTGTTTCTAACATTATTGACCGTAGTAATGTTAACATTAACAAGTATGCAAACACACGCTGTTGGATTTGTAATAGGCTTGGCCATATTTCCTTTTTTTGTAAATCACGTATGAAATATAGTATTAATACAAATAATAATAATAGAAATTATCAAACTT